TAAAAAAAAAAAAAAAAGCTGAGCAAACAACACTTCGCTAGCTCACGGCCTTTTGCTTTCCACAGTGGAAACGTGAGCATGAGTAGTGACTTGAGAACTGATCTATCGCCTACAGCTTGCAAAGACTGCGGCTGCTAATGTACATATCTGCATACAAATATGTCACACTACGTCTGTATCGATGGGAAAACGACTCTGTCACACGCGCGTTGGAACATGCACCGTGCCGGTGTGGAGGAGCATGCGCTCAGCTTTACAGACATGCAGTTGGCCCAGGTCCTGCAGCAAAAGAATCACCCAGAGGAAAAGACACAAATCGGAAACTCTGGGTACTCAAAAGACCTGGTAACGTCTAGCAGCTAGCATTCGTAGCGGCATCCTCTGGGGCTTTAAAATGTGCTGAGGCGGGAGTCAAGTCCGGTTGCGGCTCGGTTGCCGCTGGCCACGTTCAGGACAGTCCACAATGACCAAAGTCAAAGCTGTCAAGGACACTTCGAAGCTTTCCATCGTTGCAGCGGGGAAGCAAATTATTCCGCCCAAGCCAACTGCCTCCGTCTCTTCAGGATAAAGGGCCGCAAATGATTGTGATTCGAAGGCTAGGCAATTCCAGGGATGCTCTCAACTCGTCTTTTTGCGGTTCCATCCTAGACACAAGGTCTGACAGTGAAGAACGCTTATACTGCAAGCCTCGAGCTATTTGGACTTCTATGCTAGCTCCCCCCCGCACTGATTGCTAGGACAACCTTGCAGTTCACTTTTAGAGCGAGGATCTGGTACTTCACGATCTCAGAAAACAAAAGCTTGCTCAGAAAAATGGGCACGGTTGCGGGTACCATCTCAACATGTAGTGCTTAAATCTGGGGCAGGTGGTCCTCAAACTGGGGCGGTCATATGCCTGGTGGTGTTGCCGAGGAAGCATTGCCTATTCCCACAGCTAGTGTCCACAACTTATTGGAATAGTGAACTTCCTCAAGAAACACCCTGGATGGCTTGCTCCGGGAACGGGTGCCCGGACTTTTTGGAAGATGTCACTGACAGCAGCACTGCTGTCTTGTTATGCAATTTTCACAGCGGTTAATGATACTGCTGCTGGGACAAGTAGGCATAAAGTTGTTGCTGTCGTCGCTGATTGGGCCATGGCAACAGCGGGGAACTTGAGAGGGAAGCTTGCAAAAAACAACCGATGACATAGGACCTATCGGAATCGCACAGTGCGCGCGCGACAGAAAAGATCATTGAAGCAGTTGTCACAACAAGGCCTGCTTGAGTGACAACAGTCACCGCTACAATGACATGGCAGGTCTTTAGACAAGTAAGTGCGTGAATGACTGAGACGTGCTTGGAATTAGAAGGCTTTCCGTGAAACACCCCCTTGGAGAACAATCACTGTGCGAGATCATTCATGTGATGTCATCATCATCTACTCGAGCAAGGCTCATGTGTTTCCTCTAACTTAGCACTACCGGTCACTACCGCTTCATTATTCTACCTACGACTTGCCTCATGCGGCCCACGGCGCTGCTCAGCTTTTGGCCTCCTCAGGTCCATGCCACGCGGGACTCGTGGTGTCTGCGCCGGTCCTCTAGAATTTGCTCCAGTCGACGGCAACTATGCAAGGTCTTGACCAGAACCTTTCTAGGCACAGGAGGAGCCAACCTTTGGCTGAAGCTCCAAGCACACGAAGCACAACACCACCCAAGACCAATCCCACGCACTGTCAGAACACATGCCTTTCACAAAGGCACTGCGGGTATAAGCGGCACCATCGCCGAGATCTTGACCAGCAGAAGCATTAGCATTTAACATTACTCTTTGATTTCTGGTGGCTACTAATACTGTTCAGATGCTGCTCATTCCTGACGCTGTTCTTTGATGATGTCATCATCACCGGGCTCATCCTATTCGTCGGTGTGATGATAATGGTGAAGATGGAGATGATGATGATGATGATTATGAGGGCTGAAACGTTTATTCTGATCACACAATCACCCAAGGCGTGGGCAGCATATCATGTCTTGCATTCCCGAAGCAAGACTCAACCATCAGTTTGTCAAGAGGTTCGTAAGATGCACAAGACGCCTGGTTTTTGGTTATGGTCTACCCAATGAGTACTCAACAAATTCCAAAGGAGCCCTATATATGCGCATATATACTCACCAATACCCCGTGCCGAAAATTCGCCTTGCTGTCCACCCCAGAATCCTTTGGAGAACATGGACAGGTCCTTCACAGAGGGCATGAAGTACTCGCAACCTGGCTCGCCGCCGTACAAACTATACCAGATTGCTGATGAAGATGATACGTCAGGTGTGGGAGAGCAGGCTATACAACATCAACCAAAAACAACTTTAAGAGACAGCATGACACTTCAAGGAAAGCAAGCCTACGTGCACCCGCAATTCAAACAGAACCCGCAACCAGAGGACTGTGCCGAGAAGACCCACCCCATATCCCATGAACACAAACCCCCTCTATCAGCTGGGTCATGGGCTCAGCAGCTCGGTAGCTGTAGGCCTGCAACAATCAGGATGCAGGTTTCAGCCTTAGCCTTACCGGGGCTCAACAACTTGCAGAGCGTATGCCTCCAAATGCTTGCTTCAGGTAATTGCCCTGTCCAAGCCCCACATGCTTACAGAGCAGAAGAATGAGCTCTGCGTGCCCGTTGTTGCTGAAGAGACAACCTAGTGAACCCGCCAAAATTCATTCCTTGCGAATCATGTTGCCTAGCAGGATTCTTGGGGCAAAGATATGCCCGCCTGAGATCAGCACTGCGTTGCAAGCAGCTCTGGAGCAAACTCAAAAGGCTGGCCGGGGTCCCCTCCTGGCATGTACTTTGTTTGCAGCACTGGCGGCTTTAGGAGCCATCATGACACAGGCAAATTGCTTCTACTTGCTGAAGCGCAGAAGGCTCAAAGCTCGAAGTGGCTGCAGCATAAAAAGCTATCTTGCTCGATGTGCATGCGAACCCAAGGAAAATCAACACAGACATGCTCGATGCTGCTAGATCATCCCAGAATGTTACAGACAGAGGGTGCAACTTAAGCTGAGCTTCCGGGATGGGCGGCGTGTCCGCTGAATAGCCAATCTTCCTGGTTTCAGCTTGGTTTGCAGGTGAGGAGTTGTAATTGCAAAGCGAAGTACAGCTGCAGGTTCCGTCGTTCTTTTGCGAAAGCCCGTGGCTTCTAAAGCACGTGGGTATGGGATGAGGGAGGCATTACACCGAAGGCGGCGGTGTACACGTGCGCAAAAGCAAAAACTATATCCAGGGACAGCATACAATTTTACAAAGCCTCAAGGGGCGTAGAGTAACCGCAATCAAAAGGTGGTCGTCAAAGCCTTACACGGTCTTACTACCACTCTACGCCCGCTAAGAGGGAGTGTGGTGGCACGAGAAGCTCAGCCGCACCGAACTTCTGACCATGAAGAGCCATACTAGGAGCTCCACGTGACTCAAAATGGGCAGGAGAAGCCTGACAGAAACGCTCAGGAGGCTGTTCTGGCCTCATTGCGGCTGGAGCTCCATCAATTGCACCTGCGGCATGGTGTGGCTATGGCGCGATCGGGCATCTTGTTCTTTTCCATCTGGGTCGTGGTCCACTTCACATTTGGCTTTGAGCAGAAGCATGAGGCCTGTTGGAGTAAGTATTTGCCTTCACCATGGGGTCTGCAAGTCCACACTTGCACGACCACTCTTCCACGGCGCCACTGCCATGTTACCGCGTGAGCAGAAACGAACTCACATTTTGATGGATCACAGTCTGACACCTGTAGCATTCCACGTACGCCAGACTCGTTCTAAAAAGGAATCCGGAAGCAAGCTCTTCGTGATGTTGACAATATGCACGCCTTCAACCCTTGCCACCTGAGCTTTAGGCATCTCGAATCAAATCACAATCCTGCGAAGGCACCAGCCTTTGCCCCAGGGCGGCTCAGCCGTCATGGCTTCGAGGACTGTGCACCCAAAGCTCCATACATCGGCCTCTGGCTCCAAGGGCTCAAAGGATAGGGTCGCTGCAGATTACTACCGATTTTTGGTTTTGGGCTGGCTTCAGTGACGCTCGGCAACATCGGCCGGCCGTGTGCAACGACGACACGAACAAGCCAGTACGATCCAGCTCCAAGGCTTGGATGAGGCCACGGAAACTCAAGTTGTCACTGACACCGTGGCAGACGAGTATCTAGCTTAAGCATGTTGTTTACAAATCGTGTTTGGCATGCTGGCCGTCCTGTGTTCGCTCGTTTGAAGCTCGCTGCCTTCAGCATTTATGCTACGCATGTGCATGATGGCTTCACCTTCGTGGCGTGGCCAGCATGTTGTGGCATAGCCAAGCCTCGTTTTGCAAAGCAGCCTACTGCATGTGCCCTTACTCCATTCATGCTGAAGGTATTGACCGCTCTGCTTCTCCTGAATTGTCCAAGAGAAATATGATACTTTTGCCCCTGTCATGATCTTCAAACGTTTCTTGAGCAAACTGTATAGCATGACGATAACGCAATTTGAGATTCTGTCTGATGCCTCTGCCTCGTGTTCTGGCATTTCCTATTGCACTGAATAAACCTACCATCCTTCATAGGCCCAGAACTGACAGTAGAACAACACTAGCTCACGACACTAAGTGTGATCGTTCTGTCTCTGCATGCTGTGTGGCGGATTGCTGCGTGCACGTCTGCTGGGTTGGGCAATACATTAATGTCTGGCGTGCGCCATAACTTGTAGTCAAGTCTTCAAATCACGTTCTCGCAGTGCCTTGCGGCCGAAGCCTGTCGTACCCAAAACAACCTGCCGAGCATGGTGTAATGAGTTTCGCTTGGACGGGGTCTGAGGGCCTAGGGCTAAGCCAAGTCTGAGCAAGGATGAGGCCACATCTTCACCAAACGTTCATCAGTGAGCCGCTCTGATACATCCACAAGTCGGAGAATAAATCCTGGCCGCCTACCCTCTCAGATGATGCGCAGACGTACTAGTTACTAGGCCGAAGAACCTATAATGATGCTCTCACGGGCCTCGGGTGCCATCCAGAGGAGAGAGCCCGTGGCTCTAAAAGTCTTCGTGAGATCCTTCAGCGATGGTGCTTGTTGGGTTTCTTGTGCTGAGGCGCACTTTTTTTGGCCATTTGCCTAAAAAAACTACGGCTTTGCGGGAAACATAATGGCCTCCTCCATTCAATACTCAGAACTCAGAACCAAGAAGTAGTTATCAGATAGCTCTCAAAGTCCGAGTCCTCCTGGCAACGCTTAGAGCAGCCGAAATCTGCTAGCTTCACGTTGAAGTCCAAGTCCAAAAGCCTTGGCTTGGCGTGGTGCGGGCGCTGCGGGGTTTAAGAAAGGCATCCCTAGAATAGACGCTGCATAATCCCAACAAATAATCCCGATTCCGTTTTCATTCCTCAACGCCCGACGAACAACCCCAGCCTCAAGCCAGGTGGCACGTTGGCGCTTTTGATGTCTCTATGCACGACAACCGGACTTCGAGTATGAAGATAGGCCAAGCCTCTGCGAAAGCATAGGGTCTTTTGATGTCTCTTAGCCGAATGCATGGTCGGACAGTCAACAGAAGTCATGTGAAACAGGTTTTTGATGGTTTTTCAAAATTGCATGGCGCACGGCAGCGTAAGGCAACAGCTGATTTGTGAGGCCTGCTGTTCAGGTGAGCATAATTACCGAACCAGCATGAGACGTGTTTGTTGGAGGTCTGGGGTGGATAAGGGATGCTTGGCAATTCTGATAAGTACAATGCAGGACCGTGCAACTTCAAGTCAGAGGGAAGTTGGAGAAGTTCAGCCTTCCTGCAGCTTCATGCCACTACCTCTTGCATGACAACGTTACTTCATACGACCACAAATACCGATGAAGTCAATTGTCCATCAACGTTAGTTGCGTGCAGCGACAACGCTCTGAATATCTTTTCCGTGACTTGAAGCAGACATGTGAACGAGCGGAGGTCGGGCTGTTGATAGAGCGGCAGGTTTCAAGCTGTGAGCCTTTCAGTTCAGGAGTAACTGCTGAGCCTTCCTTGTGCTTGTCAGCCTTCTATCCTACTGGTACTGATTTCACCCCCAAGAAGGGTTTAGGGCTTGGGCTTTCGGATATGGGTTCAAGCTCCAAACATTTTTTGCGCGGCTGCGAAAATAAGAGAAAGCTCCAAGCTTGCAAAACTTCAAGAGCGCAGCAGCAGCCACAGCAACAGCTCCCGAAGCTTTCTCAAGAGCTCAACAAAAAACTCCAAGCATGTGCCGCTGACCCAGATGACATGGACAAATTGCAGCTTGCACAGCACAAGAGAGGTACTCTGCAAGACTGTGGTTGGCGTAGGTTGGGGTACAATTTGCGACTGCGTTGCCGCCACTTGCCGTTAGCAGAGCTTTCCCCACCACTTCAACATCTGTAGCATGGTCACAAAATAGTAGTATTTGTAGCGTCGTAGTACTATAGCGTTACAAGCACAATCAGGGTTGCCAGGTGCAGCTTTTTGTGGCTGGGCAGGTTGGTTTGCCGTCTCAAAGTCATGACCCTCCCGCTCAAACTCAAAGAGTCTGACAAGACAGCGGCCGCATTGCAAAATGCTGGCAAGGACAAGGGCAAACTGAAACTCGCACACCCAGCATTGAGATGCACTTAGGGCATTTGAAGGTACTACAGTTTTGGGGATCAACGCGGGAAAGCACAGCCAGCACTGGCTCTATTGATGCTCTATCTGTCAGTTCCCAAAAAGTTGGGATCCCTCTTTCATTGTTATCTGTAAATAAATATATACCGACAAAATGCGTGTCATAACTTTCTTGCAGGGAACCCCCAAAAAGGGACCCCCAATCTGGAAAATCCACCTTGGTGTTTCTGCTGCAATTCCCACATCCAGCCTTGAAGCATTCCCAGGATGGTGTTGCGGAGAAGTTGTCCTCACAAATTATGAGGGCTTCCAAAATTAGTGTTGCCTGTTTGGGGTTATATATATGGGGATATTAATGTTCTGGGCGTCGCGGGGTGTTTTTGAACACCTAAATTGGGGTCTCCAGTGCACGAGTCGAGTGTCAAGCTTGCGGCTGCAAATTTTCAGGCCAAGCCGTGGCCTGCCGCATCGACACCTGCGTAATAGTCGTGTCTCATCCTACTGTTGACATCCAGTTTCGCATGACAAGTATGTTTCAAGTCAAAGCAAGAGAACTACTCTCTGATGTGGCTCGCCAGATATGAGGAGTCTCCGCCGACATGCTTACCTTGTTGCCCAAACTGGAAGCCACGAAAAGGATCTGAACACTAACCAATCTGCAAAGTGTTGCGACCAGGTCTCAATTCCTAGGATTCAGGGCGACCGTTTCAAGTACGCCGCGGAGACGCGAACAGCATAGAGGCACGGGAATGAGGATGAGAGCAGCTCCACACAATTCCTATCACCTATAATAAACGTAGCAAAATACAAAATCAATCATAACTTCTAGTCGTTGCCGTTGCAACGGTTCCTGCTGCAGTCGTGCTGGCAGGTAGCAGCTAGAGTCACCAGGCTCAAAGTAACCCACCTCTTATCCAAATTCCATGCCCAGCCCAATCTTGCAAACGCCAACGCACATGACTCAGTCCGTCGAGCGCACCAAACTCTTTGAGCATGGTTGCGAGGGACCTTGGTGCGAAGTAGCAGAAACCTACGCCAAAAAAAAGCGCAAGCTTGCACGTATGCTTTCTGCTTACGTGACAGTTGGGCACGTTTACACTAGCAAAGATGACGCCAACTTGCACCACTTGAACTGCTTCTGCCGGGAAATTGAAGAGCTGTTTGCTTAGCCCTCCAGCTGACTCAAAACAAACCTACGCAAACATGCGCAAAGAAAAACTTCCAAGAACTTGGCTTGCGCAAAGTTCACACAACACTACGCAGACCAGACTGCACGGGACGTTGTTGCATAAACTCCCTCATGGACAGCATTTTTGCCACTCAACTGCAAACTCTCGCGCTCATCTGGCAAGATATGGATTCCCGGAATTTCAGAAGAAACATGTTTGCACAAGCGGACTGGCCACCGGAGCCTTTGACACCACTTGAAAAAATAAGAGGAACGGCCAGAAATCTTCGCACTGCGTTTGCCTATCTCTGCAGGGAGAAGGCATCTTGTTTACACTCATTCTTCTTTTCCCTTGCATATGCTTGCCCCGCAAAGGGCGCCTCTTCTTCTGCATCTCCATCTCCCTCCCCTTGACTGACTTGCTCTCCGTCTTGCTTTCTTCGTTTTCTTTCCCACTCTTCTCCATTTGCTCCGGCCATCTTCTTCTGCACAGTCTGCACACCGCGCACGGCGATGCCAAACCATTGGCCAACGACCAGCAATTTTGTCGTAGAGAGCCACTATGCTCCCAGTATAAAAGTTTCACTTCCTGCACCAATACGAAAGCTACTTTTGTCTGTGGCAATGGTGGAATTCATCATTTCCGATGCTCCCTATCGTGTTGCAGGTCTGAAACGGTCTGCCAGGAATCGGTTTGGTGTATCTTTTTTTTGGGTGCCCCACATCGTTTCGCAGAGGTTTCAGCATCTTTCCACTCATCCAACCTTAAGTGGTAATTTTGACCCTGGCTCAACAGATCAAACGTCAAGGAGTGGCAACGCTAACATCTCCAGGACACTAACACCGCCTTTCTCCTTTCTGCTGCTAGTGTGACACGTGTCTGCCTTAGTTTGGATTGCTTTCATTGATCCGGCATATGCCCCCTCAGTTCAACAACAGGGGGTGGCGTTGCTTGGCTGCCCTGCAGGCCCCTACTATCACGCATCTTCTGTATGTAGCAGCCACGTCTCCTCCCCAAAACTAGCACACGACCCACCAGCTCAGAATTGCCCCCATAGGTCAGTGGATGGCATTTGGCCTCTAAGTCTCCAAGGTCCCTACATCGGAACCGCCAGCCGTCAAATTTCTCAACTGTTCTGGCTTTCAGTTTGCGTGGCACGAACCCTGCCTGCTGCGAGATACAGCAAGCCACGAAGCCACGCCCCGGGCTTGTTTGCAAAGTTCAGAGCCGCAATCTCTTCCGTGAAAAGCCGCGTGATGCGAGTTGAAGTGTATTTCCCGCCCGCCCCCGCGACCAAGATAATGCGAAAACCTGCATAGGCAAGATGAATCCTGCCCACCGAAGAGGCTTCCCTGGAACAGACTTTCCAAGAGCCCGTCCTTTCCTTCCTCCCTTTTCCTTGCTCTGCATGAAAGCCCCCACTGCCCTTGCAAACCCTGAGGTTGGCTACCGGGATCATGTGGCCAAGAATGGAGACCAAATGGAGATTGGGGGTCGCATGTCCTGGTATTCCTGATACACAGAGTCACTTCACAGCTTCGGCAGCTAAGGACAAAGTCACGCTACTCTACGCCTGAAGTGCTAGAAAGTCCTTGGTTTGGTTCGTTCGGGCCTTATTGGGAGCTTATTGACTTCCCCTGGGATCATTCAAACCAGGACGAAATACCACAAGGACCTGAACCCTCCTTTCAACATCAGCATGACAGAACAGGGTCATACCTCACGAGCCTCAGTGGGGTAGGAATTCCTCTCGCCCACAATGCTGGAGAGGGCCCTTTATGTTTTCCTTAAGTGGTGCCTTACTCCCTAGTCATGTCCTCTGTGGCTTGCTGTTTAGTATGGAGCGCAGTGTGGAGCTTGTCGCGTAGAGAGTCTTTCTTTCATTCGGGCTTTGAGGCCGCCCGCGAGGACCTGCCCCTGGGATCACCTCAATTTCTCTGCTGGGCTTTGCCTAGAGGAGACACAACACACAGGCTCGCACCCACTACTAACCACACACCAAACTTAACTGATAGGGAGTCTCTCGCTCTGTCTCTCTCACTCCTTCTCTGCCCGAATCATCTTGGTTCCCAGGCCCGCCATCCGCAAATTCCATGAATATATACCTGTGCTGTGCTGTGCTGGCGCAAGGAGTGCCCTGTTTCGCTTTCTCGGCTCAAAAACGGTCCCAACAGAACATCAGTCAAGCAAAAACCTGTGGACATCTGACCCTCCTCGCCCCTTCGCGGGCACAGGGTGTTGCCGACATACTCGTGGCCGTAGCAACCTCACAATGCAAGCCCTTCGACTCTGGATCAGGCTCTCTGCGCCATTTAGAATACCTCTGCGACAAAAAAGCTTCAGCTGTGATTATATCACAAAACTCATAAACTTTCTACTCCGCGCGCCTTGTCTCTGCGAAGGTTGCTTCTTTAGAGTTTAGCTCATGCATAGTCCATAGCTCCACAGGTATGCGCTTTTCGATTCTTGTCTCGACCTGCGCATCTTCTGAAAATGTCTGGTAGATGCCAAGAAGCATATGATATTTGGGTGCCGCAAAGAGCGCAAAATGTCCTGAGGAATCGGGACAGCCAAGGTTCAGCCGAATGATAGGCTCACAATACGATGCCTGTTTCACGCAGAAGTTGAGGTTTGATGGACAGCATCAATCTTTGGAAATGGCATCGCCCACTCAAAGTAATTCTAGCTTTGGGCTCTTTCCATGCAAGAATCCTCAGGCACGAAGACCTATATTGGAAATGTCAGTTGTCGAAAGGCTTTGTTGGCCTGTAGCATGTGCAGCATTCGTCACTGGTTATCCACGTTACTGACATAGGAGATGATTCCAGTGCATGCTCAAGACAGGGGACAAGCTCTTCGCGAAGCTTCTGGATATACCTCTGGCCCTCCTCATCATCTTCCGTCACCTCAGCAGGCCAAGCAGGCTTGCAGCATCCCATCCCCAAACTCTTGCATCAAAGCAGCCACAGATTTCTTGATACAGAAGATGAAGCCGTTCTCTATGTCCAGGGCTCTGCACACTGTGCCGTAGGAGCCCTGTCCTGTGACGCACTTGCAAGTGCCAAAACCCAGCTCTGCAAACTTTTCCTGAGAGCCCAGAAACACATTCGAGCAGGTCCTATTGTCGAACCGAGGCGCCAATTCTTTATCAGCCTCTGCTGCTTAGCTGGGGCTGGCTTGGGATCGTTAAGCATCTGCGCCTGCTTACCCGAAGGCAGCTTCAAATGACTGGAACGTGGAGCAAGATTGTACTGATGAATTAGGCCACCCTCCGGGCTCCATAAGCCAAGCACTGGCATTCTGGGATCCCATGCGGCAAGCCAGGCAATGAGGCAGCTGTACTAGGCGTCTGCACTGCCGACGCATAAGCCTCTGGCCTCAGCTGTTGAGATGATATAGCAGAGAGGATTTTAGTAAGAACGGCCACTTTAATAAGGACCCTGTGGGGGCCATGTCGTATGGAATAGCAGTGAGGTCCCTGTTGATCAGGTTACCAAAACCTCTGACAATGACTGAGAGCCTGAAGACATGTGCTATGACAGAGTCCGACATTCTACGTGCTGCGGCTTGCGAGGGGTGAGCATTGCCAGACATGCAAAATAAGCTGGGAGTAAGCATGCGCCTGCGAGATCGGCCATGTTGGGCTTGGAGAGCTATGCTGCCATGACATTCTGCCCAGTAGCAGGCTCCCGCTCTCAGAGGTCCGTGGAGATGTGGGATTGGACTGACGTAGGACCTGTCGGGTATGGCAGTTCATGGCTTCATTATGAAGAAGGCAGCTTAGGCCCCAGAACAACAGACTCCTGTACTTTGTGTACGCACAAGTATTTCAGGCCGCAGCCTTGGCACCAAAATGAAACCAACCCACTCGAATACTTCTGCATCGAGCCTATAGAGCATCTGCTCACCCCGCGACGAGAAGAGCAAACCAGATCCCGACAAACCCGAGGAGCAAAGGCTGAAGAGCACACCTGGACTGACCCAGGAAGCCGAGATGGCATATTGTTCCCCACTGTCGTTGAGAGAGTGAAAAAAAGACTTTCTCTCGTTGCCCGATCACCCGGCTCACCGGAAAGCCAGTGCCCAATCTGGAATTTAGTGCCTCGTGCCCAAGCCCATTGCGTCCATGGAGTGCCCAACCCCAACCCCAGAGATCCCCAGAGTGCATTTCTCAAGACGTGTCAGGAAGCTGAAAAACAAAGGATATTCCGCACCAAATGTTGATGCAAAATGGCTGTTGTATTTTTTCTGAATTCGGCCACTCCCCTGTCTCCGTCTGGGTCTGCTGCCAGCGTCCTCAGACTCGAGATTGCTGGAAAGCAGGTGGATCTTCAGGGAGTGTTTGGTGTGAGGTCCAACATAGACAACGCAAAGGTCTGCGACGTCCGCTTCAAGCCATCCCTCAGCGCCTTGCGCGCCCATGCTTTGATCAGAAAACATGCATGTCAATGAAGAGGTGGCAAGTGGATCCCACTCTCGAGTGGCGAGGCTGTAAGCGCAAAGGCCAAGCCCATTCCACCGCTGCGCCTAAGCGTGAAGCTAATGCGCCCAAGGATGCTCGGCGCTCCCGCCAAAGGCGGGACAGCCATCGCCGGTAGGCTTATCTGCGTGTCATCCTTGCTGACTGACTCTGCCCCCCCACCTGTGGTGTTGGGGGATTTTGTCAGGGACGGAGATTTTGCGTCAGCAGTAGGTGGTGCCATTCTTCTGGGAGCAGGTCCATCGCGAGCCAAACAGTGCAGGTAGCTTCTCAGTTATGTGGAAGTTTCCCTAAATTACTGTTCCCTAAATGGGGGAAATTTATATAGGGCCCCGTATTATAATAGGAACCTAAATATAGGACCCCGTATTGACAGTAATTTAGGACAATCCCCAAGTCTGCAGAACCTCTGTGATGCTCATATTTTTGTTGCAAAGCTTACCACGGAACTGGGCATGATTGTTGCAGATCTTCTTACCCGCGCTTGCATCATGTTTACTCTTTCCTCCTCCTAGTCGCAGTTCCTGCCATGTGAAGCGGTACAGTGAAGTACATGCAATGCAGATTGACTCTCAGTTCCATGTTCTGCAAGCTCTCTCTGTTGCTCATATCGTTTCTCTCTAGGGCATTCCCCGTTAACCACCTTGTTGCTTATTTCCCTTTCGCCTTTCAGGACGATGGGCCACAGGGCAGGTGAGTCATAGCTTGATCCTCTCTGGGGCTCATATTTCCCGTCTCGCACACTCTTCTTGGAGTAGTCCTGCTTGAGGCTGCCCCCCATGATACTTATCCCTTTTACCTTCCTTTACACGATTCCATCATCGTGATGTTGTCATGCGGAAAGCAAGTTCTACAGGTATGCTCCAAGTTTCTCAGATCTTGTGACCCTCTCTGTAGCTCATATTTGTTCTTGTAGTGCCCTCCCTGCATAATGGCTTCCCCGCTTGTTGTCTTTTGGTTTCATTAACACAACTCCAGCTTCGTGAACTTGTCGAGTGGAGAGCGAGTTCTGCAGGTAGGTTCCCAGTTTTTCAGTTTTTTGCTACCCTCTCTGTTGCTCACATTTGTTGTTGCTGTGCTGCGCTCTGTTGTTACGGCTTCCTCCTCGTCTCCGTTCTCTGCTCTCTTTGTGTCTCCCAGCCTTGCTGTCAGATTCGGGGCTGCCTTCCTTCCCTGCCGTTTTCGCTTCTTTCTCTTCCTTCTTTTTCCTTCGTCCGCTCTCGCCTCTCCCTTCTTTGCTTTGCTGACTTAGTGCTGTATGCAAGCCCTTCGTGGATTGACTCTGACCCGTCTGTTAGCAGGAGCCAAGCCGGGGGTCTTTTCAGGCCTCACGGTGTGATGAAAGCAGCCCACACTTTCAGCGGCATTCATGCGCCAATATGGCTGTTACAACACGTTGCCCTAGGGACTTTCGGGATTTATGGCTATCACATAGGGATATGGGGGTCTCCTGGTAGGGACTATCTAGTAACAATTTTATTTTGTTTAGATCAGCCGCAATAGTCCCCATGTGCTAATGCAGTGAACACATCCAAGCTGTACGAATGGGACGACCTATGCATCTAACTCTTCTGACCACCTTGGCCAGAACCGTGCCACCAAGAAAAGAAGTGGTGCAGGAAGGCCCGGGCAGAGTTTACATGTCAAGGGCTATTGCTGGAGCTCTTCTACCAGCCTTATCCTTCGAGGAGGAAGGCAAGGAAAGAACAGTGGAGCAGATAGCGCAAGCTGCCACAAATATTGATGAACTCATCATCATTGCCACGGAGGATGATCCCAAGAAGATAGTTCCTACGGCCACAGACTTTTCCCGACATGCACAAGCTGTGGGCTCCATGGGCAGGTGGACATTTCTGGACAGCGAGATCACTCCAGAGTCTTAACTTCATGAGAATCTGGCCTGGAGCACGCGCTACATTTTGATCTGAGTGGGGTCTCTGGATCAGTTCTCAAAAGGAACAAGATGACCATGCAGCAAGTGTGCCAAAGCCATGAGGCCAAGATGAGACACCCAATTCAAAATTACAGGCCAAGCGGGCACTTTGGGAGACATCATGCATCAGGTTAGCAGGCGAACAACAGAGGCTCGGCTCGTGTTAGGTTAGTTTGGCCGCAAGGCCAACAGAAGTACTTTCCCGAACCCAGGAACACAGCAGCGGCAAAAATGGAAACACTTACTAGTTGTGAGCAGAGAATGAAGGAGTGGAAGGAGTGGAATGAGTGGACCTTTTTTTGGCCCCTACTTAATCCAAAACACTAAGGTAATCGTTTCCATGTTCTTTTCCGTTCCTTCCTTCTCTACGAGAACACCACCGTTCCACGCTTCTTGCCTGAGCCTTGTCCTGGCCCTGGGGAGACTCCACACGGATGGTCTCCGTAGTCGCCTTCCCACCGAACGCAACAATCACGAGCACACAGCCACTGGTACACTCAAGTTGGGGGTTTCCATAAGAATTATAAGGCCGTTCGCGAGGGATGTCCAAATAATGGTTGAAGGTTGTTGTAAATTGGGATGTCTCAGGGGGGCTCCTCCTTTTGGAAATACCCGTGTGATGAACCACTTGCATCCTGATGTGCTTCGACCTTAGTTGCAGCTGTGGCACTTCTCTGTCCTCTGCAATGTTCCTCAAGGCAAGCTGCAGATGTTTGATGGGACAAGGCAAGCATTTACAAACTCCAGAGTTATCTGTAGTAGTAAGAACGAAGGACTATAATATAGGATGTTAGCTGGAAATTACTTGGGCGTAGATCTGATTGGTACAAAAAGTTTTGGGAACGGGTGATCATCATCCGTAATCTTCAGCAAGATGTTTTCCATGCACCCCTCTGCAAGACGCACTACTTAAGACTCACTAGCTGACGGGCATCGTTTCTTTGAAAGGGTGCCCTTGCCCCCCACCTCACGGAGAGAAAACTGGTTGGAAGAGAGCGTGTTGCAGAATTTGATGACGGGCCGGGTAACAAACGTAAGCTGAATTCTGTTGCCTGAGCCTCGGAACAACCCATAGATCTATCCCACGCCTTTGCACAGCCCCCCATCACATGCATCTGGGTGGCTGCAGCGCATGGCTAGGGCAGGTCTTTGTCCGCTGCCTCGCCGGGTCACAGCACACACCCTAGGTAAGCAGCCCATGGCAGCCTCTCCTACAGCCTTGTGAAACTAGTCAGTTCAGTACATCTAAAGTGGGTCGCTGGACCAGCAGCTGCATTTCCAGATCCCGGATCTTGAACGCTCTTGAGCTCGTCTTGTCATATCTACATCCCCACGCCAATGCTGAGCAGAAGCGGGTGCAAGGAGATGCAAGGGCACTGGAGTGCCTTCGCCGCACGACGAATGTTTCCGGAGGCCCATGCTCCTCAAAGGCATATGATGCATGAGCTTTGGGCTTCAGCTTGAGATCTCAGTTGCCCTTCAACTCGAGCAGTCTTTGCTCTTGTCAATTGCACCGCAGGTACAATACTCAAGTAGGTGCACGCAGCAAGCCTACGCATCCCATCCCTCCCCCTTGCAGCCACCATATCCGATAGAAGAATGACGGCACAAGTTGTCAACTGGCGACTTCACTTCGTACGAAAGAATCCGACCCAGACTGCCCAAACAACCAGCATAACCAACACTTCGACACTCTTTAAAAGTCACCCTTAATTGTAAATCCGTTGGCGTGTTCAGTGTCTTGCTGGCTTCCATAGCCCTGCCGCACCTCAAGCTCGCGCCGCGCCGCCGCAGCTTCTACTTCGAGGGACGGGCAGGTCTTCGTCCGCCGAGCCCTGGGCAGCAAAGCCAACACCGCCTGCTTCCTTGAAGTTCTTAATGTGGATTCTTAAGCTTGAGGGGCGTTTGAAATCCCCTGACATCATCCAGGATCTACCGTAGCTCATGGAGGAAAGGATGCTGAA